GAGAGAGAGAGAGAGAGAGACGAGAAGCTTGATCGAACAATTTTGAACAAGTTGCTATTCTTCGGCGCGATCGAATTATTACAAGCGGATAACGATACGCCATGAAAGATACGTTGGAAGAACGTATTTATAAATAAAAGTGGGAAACCGCATGATACACCACTGTATGCGAACCTTCAGTATGTCAGACGCTGCATTGGCGGCAGACAGGGTGTTTCATAACGCGCATTAATTATTCGCACAACAGTGGATAAACTAATAAATTGTACTATTGCTGTTGGTCAAATATCCTTTACGTTTCGAATGTCAAATTTTACTTTTATATCGATATTTCAATCGACTTTCTACGATATACATACATACAAGTACATGATAAAGTATCAACATTTTATTCAATTGTTTTAAAATTGCTGCACCCTTGAAAAATATCCCATAAACTTGAAAGAAATGAAAAAATGTAAAGTATATGTACATTTGGGAAAAGTATTATTATCATTTATTTTGAACTTTGTTGCAGACTGAATAAAGAACAATATGCGTGTACCTGCGTGCAACGTTTTGCTTTGCGTTTCCTAGAACACGCTGATACGTTTTTGAAAAAATAGAAAACGATGCGAACAACAATCAATCGATAGTTTACGTAGTTTTATTACGTAGATTCAAGCACGTTTATTATGTTTGCTGTGGAGTGACAAAATGTTGGTAAATTTCTTTTAAATTTGTTAAATACATTTTTGAATAAATAACGGTAGGGACCATTTGAAAGAATTAATTTCGTACTGTAACTTTATCTGATTTGAAACATTTGACTGAGAATTTTAAATCGTTTTGTAAATATCTTTGTTGCTTATTTGTATTGTATTTATCTTTCAGTCGTATTAAATAACATCGAGTAAATGAAATTTCAATATTGTCCATCACTTTACGCGAGTAGCTACGCATATATGTGTACAAGTATACTTACGCAAATAGTATTACACATTCAATATATACGTTGAAAATAGTAGATTTAAAGTCACTGTTTGTGATTACGTTTATTACTTCTTCTTTTCCCGAATTAAACAAATTTTCTGTGTCCCCGATATTTTAAGAAATAACTAGATACAAACTGTATAAATAGACAGGGGCGTGATACAAGTATCATCGGCGTAATGCTTGATATAAGTATATACATATACGCATGAAGACGATCGACATGAGATAATAATAATATACTAACTGGCTAATAACATATACTAGCAATACGATCGTTAAATTTGCATCGATACAATTATTTGAGCTTTTGAAATTTTATCAATCAAAGTTTATCAATCAAGAAGCAATTGATGTTCTATTAATTTCTTTTTAAATATCTGTTACGTGTTCTAAACGTATCAGATATACCAAGATATTTGCGTATACTTTTATGATGTTATGACTCGTGCAAGTGTCATCATTTATTTACAACAGATGCTCAATTTCTTAATTAATCATGTCATTGACATATTTCTAAGCTCGACTACGTACTCATATTTGCCTACCGATTATCGATTAGTGCACAAAAAAAAAAAGATAGTCATAGTTTGTCGTTTTGAATAAAAAATAATTTTTTACTGACGTGTCATTTCGTATCGACGAGACTAGAGATAGAAAGAAGATACGACAAGATGAAAGATACGGTGCTCTGTGTGCATACAGCCTTAAGCTGCACAGTGTAGGATAAGATATGTAAATAACAAGTGAAACTTTGATTGAACTCAGTAAGTGATTATTTCAGTACGAACGAAAATTGGTTCGTACAAATGTTGCGCCCTAGTCGCATAATACAGCTAATGGAGCTTCTTCAACTGCGTGCCATATGGTTTAACCATACGTGCATGTGTTCCTTCATATTTTGACGTTATCTGTTCCGTTTTTTTAAATACAAATCTAATTTTTCTCGTATCAGCCATTTCGGCGATTAAAACAATAAATTAATGAATTACGCAATTTTTAAAAATTCGATGAAAATAGATAGATTTTTCTTTCTCTCTTTCTATCTAAGGAAAGACGATTTATTATATATACACCTATGCGTGTACATACACTTAAGTAAATATGCACGCATTTAAAATAAAATTTGTAATACAGAATGATCAAGAGATTATCGTTTTATGAATGCCTTAGCTGGTTTTTAATTACAACATAAACAGATTCATATGTCAATATTTTTATTATTGTTATTATTTCATCATTATTACTATTACTATATATTTATATCACGGATCTTTCATGATTCCGATAAAATAAAATCGTCATTCGACTGAATTTTTATAGTATCTCTGCTTGGAAAATCAAAGATCGTTTCGAACAAAATAAATGATAGAAAGGTTCATACAGCGTTCAATCTTTTTCTTTTAAAACAGAAAAGAGACGTTAAGGTCATATTAAAATGATACGTCACGTTACATGCCTCATTTTCATTATTCACTTCATTCCTGTTTTCTATCGTTTCAATTCTACTGTATTTGAATTAAATCGTACATGTGGATATCAATATTAATCGCATCGCATATTGGTAGTAATCGAGATCATGACCCTGCTAATATTGTCAAAGACGAATCCATATCATATTGCTTGTCTTTAACGTAACATGTACGTAATATGTGATATAATTTTTTACTATTGGTCTAATTTTTTTTTAATAAATTATTGTTGAAACTTTGTCGAATCAAGAGAAATTATTTAGAACCAGAAGAAAATCATATTATTTTCTTCTCGACTGTGCTCGTGTTTTTTGTTTGCCGCACAATATGAGTCTGTCTTTGTCGCACGCTGTCTTCTTTATCCACGAAAGGCTACATGCTGCTGTCTGTCGGTAACTTTTGGAACTAAAGTGTACTACCGACTTTAATCGATATATGTCGTGCCATCTATTGGATTGTCCATTTTTCTCTCTTTAGTTCTCACGAGACTGAGAAATATGTAGTTGGCAGCACTGTATAGACATGTAGCGACATCTTCAGTCTTATAAAAAGTTACCATGGAGATACAATAAATTATTGATTACAAGTTACAAACAAATTTCCAAGAATAAATATAAAATAGTAAATAAGAAATTAATAAACAGTCGTCAGTCGTAATTAATCCATTATAAATTCTGTATCATGTAAACGTTAAAATAAATTATAAAATTTTCCTTTGTAGTACGGTGACTATTATTTATCGATCATCGTACCTACAGACAAGGCGTGTAATGTAATGTAATGCGATAAGGACAGCAATATTCATTAATTCCACCATTTCATCGCTACGCGACGCTACGCAACATCTCAGTGTCTATGAGTCGATTAAATTTTCAATTGAACATTGGAAAGTAAATTAGTTTTTTTGGAAATTTGCACAACTACTTTCGTAACTAAATCTGTTCAATTGAAATTCCACTCTCAATTTTCTTTCAAGTGAAAAAACGCATTCCACCACTCACAGTCTAACATAATTACAAATTGTATATTAAAAATAAATTAATTAATTAATTTTTATTGTTTGCAAATATGTAAACTATTTTCAAACTGCGCCAGCTGTAGTCTCCGTGTAAATGAACAGAATATATTGAAAAATGAGATTATTTATTGTAGAATTATCGTACATTTTACATAATATTTAATACTACTAATTGTAAATTATGCGAACAAATTAACTACTTATGGATGTATTCTCTCTCTTGTTCCCTATTCCACTTTATATTTTACGTTCGTAATTACTATTCAACTACGATATATATTTTACGCGAGAATATTTGAATTTTAAAAGGAATTATCAGGAATTTTACATAGTTTACATACAAATGTTATTATGTTATTTATAATTTTACAGTGTCCTATATTCCTATAAAAAGTCATAAATTTTCTATGTCATCGTAGACATCTAATGTTTGACATTGATTTAGTCAGAATGTTGCTTTATAGTTATTAATCATTTTAATAAATGATGGATGAATCATTATCGTGTAACTTACGTGTCAGTAATATTTTCGATCAATTTCTACTACTGAAATAAGTATCAGAAATAAAAATATACGGCGAAAAAGAATGATTATATTTATGTAATGAGTCGAAAAGGTTGCGCAATGTCACACGTTCATTCAGTCCATTCTTGATTGTATTTTGTTATTCTATGAATTCTTTTATGACTTCATTCTATGAAAAATAGTTGATTATTTGGTTTACGGTGTTAACAACAGTTACATATACACAGATGAACCCACTTATAAATCGCGCAATTTTTACTAACGAACGATTGTCATTTGGTTATTTCATACGACGACAATTTCGATTATCATCTCAAAACATGGTTATCGCTGTAAGTTTCATTTCTTGCTTTAGCTTCAAAAAATAACGCAAATAAATTATAATTACGCTTTTTGTACAAGTATTTTATAATAACGAATTTTTTTTTACAAAGTTTCATTCATTACTTATGTATTTGTCAATATATTCGTTTAGGTAGGAGAAAAGTTACCCACAATTGATCTTTTTGAAGATTCTCCCGCAAATAAAGTAAATCTTGGCAAAATCGCTGCTGGGAAAAAAATTGTAGTTTTTGGAGTGCCAGGTGCATTCACACCAGGATGTTCAAAGGTATATGTTATCTCTTTTATTTAAAAGTTAATTTGATGTATCAGATGCATTCTATTTGATGCAATTATATAAAATATTATTTAACAAAATGCAGTAGTTATTCTTACTTAGCTAAAAGAATTATAAATGTAATCGAATAAACGAAGAAACAAATTTTATTAACAATAAGTTTATATAGTGTTTAGGGTTGGTGTTTGTATAGTGTTAGTAAACGTTGGTCAAATTTTATTCAAATCAAAATAATTGACAAGGAAATATACATTTTGTGTATATAAAATCAAGATGTTTGTTTAATAAAGATTTATTTGATTATTTTAAAAAGAAAGAGTATATAGGATATCGTGTTTAAAAATTTAATATTGTTTTAGACACATCTTCCTGGTTATATACAAAAAGCTGATGAATTAAAATCTAAAGGAGTTGCAGAAATCTTTTGTATTTCTGTAAATGATCCATTTGTAATGGCAGCGTGGGGTAAAGAACACGGAGCAGAAGGCAAAGTAATATTATATTTGATTAATATTATATATTTTAGAAGTAACTGCTTTATATAAGAAGTAACAATCGAAGTATTTTATACTTTTTCACGTAGGTACGCATGCTGGCAGATCCTTCAGCTCAGTTTACAGATGCATTGGAGCTATCTGTAGATTTACCGGTATTGGGTGGAAAAAGAAGTAAACGATACTCTATGATTCTTGAAGATGGAATAGTTAAAGACTTGAACGTTGAACCTGATAATACAGGCCTCTCTTGTTCATTAGCACAAAATATTAAACTTTAAAATATACTCTATCGAGTATTATCTAATAATTTCTCGTTAGAAAATTATTAATAGTTTTTTGATGAATTTATAAATTCTGTCATGTGTGCGTAAAATAAAACGATTATTCATTACACGATATTACAATTTTGTTAAATAAAATACATGTACCTGTATTTCATATATACTTTTAATATGTTTTATTTCATGTCTATTATCTCAGATGGTTTTGATTCTTGAATATTAGTGCTTGTAAAATTAAAACAAAAAATACTTTTTTTGAAAGTAATATATTTTTACTCGTGTAATAAAATAACATCAACTCGTTTGTCGATCTCCATCAACTCGTAAATATAAAATTATAATTTTCACAATCTTGTAGTATTAAAAATTATTATATCTGAATTGAAATGTATAATCTTTTAACACTTTTAAAGTATATTCACAACGAATATATAAAATTCATGTCATAAGATGTAATTATATATAATTCAACATTGCATATATATTTATATATATTATATATATCAGTATTATTACTTATTATTTAATTATATTATTTGTATTTCCTGGAAAGTGAAGTATGCCGACAGTATTTCGTCGCTATCTTCACAGCAGTTGGAAGACCAATTGTTGACGTATAATGCTTATTTGTGTTGGAAAGTTTATGGCGCCAATTATGCCACTTTGCTGTTGTTTGTGAGATTTTTTAAATATTTTTAAAAATGCCGGCTTTTTTAAAGCATATCGAAGTAGAGAACTTTAAGTCTTACAAAGGGAAGCTTATTATAGGACCTTTAAAATCATTTACTGCTGTTGTTGGACCAAATGGATCTGGTAGGTTATGTTCTGTTGTATGGTGGTACATGGAAAAATTCTAATTTCAGATTTATCGTGCATTGTATGCTTCCTTTTAATATAGGGAAATCTAATTTTATGGATGCAATTAGTTTTGTTATGGGAGAAAAAACAAGTAGTTTACGTGTAAAGCGGTTTAGTGAGTTGATACATGGAGCTTCGATAGGAATGCCAGTTGCTCGAAGGTATTTTTGGATCTTTTACATTAAAAATGTTATTTTAAGATCATTTTAAGAAGAATTTTCGTAATATAGTACAGTGTATATTTTAATCGTCTGTTTTGATATTGCACAGCGTACATTAATATATTTTGCTTTAAATCGTTTTAAATAAATAATTATTCATTAATATAAATTACACTAACAAACTAATTAGGTTTTTAGTTTTACTTATAAAACATGAAATTTTTGCAAATATCAAAGTGACATACGAGGTGTTTGTCAAATTTGTTAAAAGTTTCTAAAAATCTTTTAATTTTGAAAGAGAAGCAATGTAAAATTAATATGTAATTCTAACGATATATATTTGCTACAAATTTTTTCAATATTTTATTTTTTAAAATATATAATAATTACCTTTTTCCTTTTACATGTTTTGAAGAAAATTTTTTAATAGGAGAGATTAAAAATTTTTTGACAATATTTATTGTAAAGAATATTGTAAAATTATTGTACTTTGTTTTTCAGATTGTTAATGATTGTTTGATTGTTAATAATTGGTATAATAATTGATTATTAATAATTGGTGTAATAATTTGTAACAAATTAATTTAACTCTCACATATTTATAAGCGTCTACTTGTAAAAGGTAAAAACAATATGATTTAAAAAAAAAATTTGTTATTTAACATTTTATCAGTGTATAAGAGTAAGTGTCAGTATGTAAGAGTAAGATAAAAATCAATATTATAAATCAATGTTAATATAGTAATGTAATAGATATGTTAAACGAATTTATATATACGATACATCCTATACGATCGCTACAATCACTATAAATTACAGTGCGTCTGTAACTGCAGTATTTGAATTGGAAGATGGAACTGAAAAAAGTTTTATGCGTTCTGTACAAGGTTCATCCTCAGAACACAGAATAAATAACAATGTAAGTCTTATGTATTTTTATAAATTACTTTAATTAGAAATTTATTTTAAATGAAAATCTTTTTATGCGTATCAAACAGGTAGTTACAAGTCAAGTGTATCTCAACGAGCTAGAGCAACTTGGTATTAATGTCAAAGCAAAAAATTTTCTTGTATTTCAAGGAGCCGTAGAATCAATAGCTATGAAAAATCCAAAAGAACGTACTGCACTTTTTGAAGAAATTAGTAATTCTGGTGCATTAAAGGCGGAATATGAAAGGTAGCTTATATACATTAAATTATAGATACAAGATACATATATTATTTTCATATTTTTTTATATCTTTTATGCAATATTATTCAGTAATATTATCAGGTTTACAATTAGTTTTGATCTTACAAATACTATTTGAAAGTAAAGCGAAGCTCAGATAAATTCTCAGATAAATTTGTTGCAATTATTGATAGATTTTTTTACTTTCATAGATTAAGAACGGAAATGTTGAAAGCAGAAGAGGAAACTCAATTTTCATATCAAAAGAAGAAGGGTATTGCTGCTGAAAGAAAGGAAGCAAAATTGGAGAAAGAAGAAGCTGAAAAATATCAACGTTTGAAGGAAGAATATGTAAGTTATTTATTCCTTCGATTATTTTATGTTAAATAAATTATCTAATTTACACATCTGTTATTGAATCAATTTTAAATAATTTGTAGATAGAAAAACAGGTGGAGCTTCAATTATTTCGCTTATTTCATAATGAAAAGAGTACGGAGAATTTGGAAGTTTCACAGAAGAAGAAACAACATGAGATAGAAAAAATTGAAAAGAAAAAGGAGAAGGCAGAAGAATTATTAAAGGAGAAAAAGAAAGAAGCTGGAAAATTGGGAAGAGATCTTGCTAAAATAGAACAAGATATCAGAGAGGTAGAAGTTGAAATAACAAAGAAAAGACCTACGTTTATCAAGGCAAAAGAACGTGTTGCACATATGCAAAAAAAAGTAGAATCAGCTCGGAAGTCCTTAGCTCAAGCACGTATTGCAGATGAAGCTCATAAGAAAGATATACATGAACTTCAAGAAGAACTGCGACAAGTGGAAGAAGCTAAAGCAGCTTATGAAGCAAGTATTGCTGGACAATCACAATTACAAGGAAGAGATGTACAACTTGAAGATGAACAGGTGAGAATTTCAACAAGATTTATTTATAATGATATTTTTTTCAAAGATAAGTCACTGTAATAATTAGTATATTAACATTAAGGTTAGAGAATATAATCGCTTGAAGGAGGAAGCAGGTAAACAATCAGCAAGATATTTGCAACTTCTCGATTCTATCAATCGGGAGCAAAAATCTGATCAAGATAGACTTGACAATGAAGGAAGAAAAAAGACAGAAATAGAGAATAAACACAAACAGAAAGGTCATATGCGAGACGAAGCTCTTAAAAGAGTAGAAAAATTAGAAGAGCATATAAAAACGTCGGAAGCTGCCTTGGAGGATCAAAAAAAGTTGCGAGCTGACTTACAGTCTGACGTTGGTACGTCAAAAGATAAAATACAAAATCTACAGCGAGAATTAGAGAGCATTTCGGAACAGTTAGGTGATGCAAAAGTTGATAAACATGAAGTATCAAGAACTAAAAAGAAAACTGAGATTGTAGAAAATTTTAAACGACTCTTTCCCGGAGTGGTAAGTTGCAAATTAAATTCAATATTTTATATAAATTATTCAATATTTTTTCAACAGTGCAATATAATTGTATACTTATTATTGTTGTTGTTATTATTTCTTAGTATGACCGTATGTACAATATGTGTGAACCTATTCATAAAAGGTACAATGTTGCAATTACAAAAGTTCTTGGTAAATATATGGAAGCTATAGTTGTTGATACTGAAAAAACAGCCAGACAATGCATTCAGTATCTTAAAGAACAGTATCTTGAACCAGAAACATTTCTTCCTCTTGATTACATTCAAGCAAAGCCATTAAAAGAAAGACTTAGGTATGTAACATCAAACTAATTTCACAAACTAGTTAAATAATTCTTTAAATATTTGTAAGAGTTATTATTTCAACTTTTAACATAGTTTTGTATACTTTTTTTCTCCGTGTAACAAATGAATATTACAAAGATACACAGTATTGCATTTGTGAAAATTAATTTCTGATTCACATTTCTTTTACTATGTTTTTTCTTTTTGTTTTAGAAATATACAGGAACCTAAAAATGTAAAACTGTTATATGATGTATTACATTTTTCACCTAAAGATATTGACAGAGCTGTATTATTTGCTACGAATAATGCACTTGTATGTGAAACACCTGAAGATGCAAATAAAGTAGCTTACGAAATGGATAAAAAAGCAAGATATGATGTACGTATGTAATAATTAATTTTTTTAAGGAGAACAATAATTAAGTAATATATGCGTGTAATTACAGTGTGTTGCGTTAGATGGTACATTTTATCAAAAAGCAGGAATTATATCCGGCGGCAGTTTAGATCTTGCAAAGAAAGCGAAAAGATGGGATGAGAAGCAAATGTCTCAATTAAAGGCACAAAAAGTAAGATATTTTAATTTGATATCTATACAGTAAAACTTCACTTGTATGAACTTATCGGAAGATAAATAGTTTATATAATTAGAGTTTGTAGCAATTCAAATAAATGAATTCAACCAGTAAGAATTCATTTAATCGGGTATTGACTAAAATTTGGATTAAACAAATGGAGTTTTTTTTTCTGCTGTGGTTTACTTTTACATTCTGCGGCACTATTATTCGGTAGTAATATATTAAATATTTTGCAGGAAAAGTTAACGGAAGAGTTGCGTGAATCTTTGAAAAAATCACGAAAAGAATCTGAATTAAATACAGTTGAATCTCAAATACGAGGATTGGAAACACGTTTAAAATATAATAAAAGTGATCTAACTGCTACGGTAAATAATTTAATTTGTAATGCTATATATTGCAATGCAATATATATATATATAATAAGAGTAACAATAACATATTTTCTGTCATATCAGTTTTGCCACAATGTATATCATAATTTCTATTAAATTGCACTTATTACAGCAAAAACAAATTTCGGAACTGGAAACAGAGTTAGATGCTCTTCAGAACGAATTGAATATGTTTGGTGTATGTAGATTTTTTATATCTATTACACTTGTGTAAGAATGCTTATTAAATTGATCCTTTATATGTAGCCAACAATAGCTGCGATTGAAAAAACGATGGCTGAGAGAGATCAAGAAATACAAAACATTAAAGAAAAAATGAATAATGTTGAAGATGATGTATTTGCTAGCTTCTGCGAACAAATAGGTGTCTCTAATATTCGTCAATATGAAGAAAGGGAATTACGGTATGTGTATTTAAGTTTCAGAAATATAACTAGCATAGACATATATGTTTATTTTCATTTTATATTGAAAATAGTGAAGAAAATATAGAGAAGGTAGAGAAAATAATTTTTAACATTGATTCATCTATTTCGAATATAAAATAATTAATTCTTGCAATTACAATTTTAGATCGCAACAAGAAAGAGCGAAAAAGAGAATGGAATTTGAAAATCAGTGCAATCGCATTTACAATCAATTAGATTTTGAGAAACAACGTGATACGGAAAGTGAGTAGAATTTAGCTTTATATATATATATATATTTTTTTTTTTTTTATAAAAATGTAACAGTTTTGTTAAATTAATATTTAATTGAAATTTGTCAATTATTAATAAATAAATTTACAAATATTTAGTTTGAAATCACTTTATGTAAAATTTAGGCAATGTTTTACGGTGGGAACGCGCCGTTCAAGATGCAGAAGATAAACTAGAATCTGCAAGACAAACTGAATCTAATCAAAAAGCAGAAATAGATCATGATGAAACTCAAATGGAGCAATTGAAATCAGCGCGAAATGCAAAAAAAATGGAAGTTGACCAAAAAGAAGATGAAATAGGTAAAGCTAGACGCGAAGTTGGAGCGATAGCAAAAGATATACAAGCTGCTCAAAAACAATTGAATGGCATTGAGACCAAGATCGAACAAAAAAAAGCTGAACGTCATGCTATTCTAATGCAGTGCAAGGTATATTGTAGAATAAAATGTTTATCAAGTTTTAAAAACAAAGTTTATAAATGTAATATTACTTAGATGGAAGATATTGCAATTCCAATGCTTCATGGAAATATGGAAGATATAGCTAGTGAAACTAGTACAACTAACAGTTCAGAAATTAATAATGACTCATCGTTAAGTACCCAGCAACAATATGAACGTGAAAAACGAATAACTATAGATTATGCTCTCCTTCCTGAGAATTTGAAGGATGTAGAAGAAGAAGATATTAAGAAAACTACCGACAAACTGACAAAAACGATTAATGATTTGCAAAATACTATTCAACGTATTCAAGCTCCAAATATGAAGGTAATGATATAATATCATAACGAGAAAGGTACAATTTAGCATTGTAAAATTTATGAAGCAAGCGGTCCAGACAATTAGTATTTTATGAAGTTACAGCATTTCTTCTTGTTGATCGATCACATGATCACATGATGGAAATGTTAAATGCTCCAATGAGGCACTTGCCGATAGAATTTCATGTTCTTACGTTTCTTGTTAGATTCTTAAGTTTCCTAATTAGACGCGATTCAATTATTTTTAATTATATATATTCTGACGCTTTAAAGGAATCTTTTTCTTTTTCTTTTTTTAAGATATTTCACTTATAACGTTTTGAATTTTTTTCAAGGCAATTCAAAAATTGTATCTTGCTAAAGAGAAACTACAAGAAACAAACGAAGAATTTGAACAGTCTCGTAAAAAAGCGAAAAAAGCAAAGACGCAATTCGAGAAAATCAAAAAAGAAAGACATGACAGATTTATGGCTTGTTTCGAACATGTGGCAAATGAAATTGATCCAATTTACAAGGTTTGTATATATTACGTTAAATATGTAAATTAAGAAAAAGTAGAGATAAATTTATTATTTCAGAGTTTAGCAAAAAATCAGTCTGCTCAAGCATTCCTTGGACCAGAGAATCCAGAAGAACCTTATTTAGATGGTATCAATTACAATTGCGTTGCACCAGGAAAACGATTTCAACCAATGTCTAATTTATCTGGTGGAGAAAAAACTGTTGCAGCATTAGCATTATTGTTTGCAATTCACAGGTATTGTGGTATCTAATTATTAATTTTTTAAATTATCTGAAATAAACGTAATATATATAATATATATATATACACCTCGTATTAATTTATACTTCGTTCATTTTGTATTGTATTAAATGGTAATTTAATTTTGTAATATCTACAGTTTTCAACCTGCGCCATTCTTTGTATTGGATGAAATTGATGCTGCACTGGATAATACCAATATAGGAAAAGTTGCTAGTTATATACGTGATAAAACAAGTTCTTTACAAACTATTGTCATATCTTTGAAAGAAGAATTTTATTCTCATGCTGACGCGTTAATTGGCATTTGCCCTGACGTGAGTATAACTATTGAAAGTTTATACCACTATAACAAAATACTTTACGTGTATTTCTCTTTGATTGACAGGTTGGCGATTGCTTGGAAAGTAAAGTATTAACTCTTGATTTAACCACATATCCCACGCATATTAACTGATAGAGTATATTTCAACTATAATTATACGTACTTCGATTATGTTTCATTTTATGACTTTATTTTTCATATAATAGTTTTACGTGCAAGATACATTGATAAAACAAAGATAAATTTCTTATATCAAAATATATTTCGTGAATTCCTGAGAAATGATCAAATCAAACAAATTTTATAGGGTATTCAAACGATCCAATCTTTTACTTGTAATTCTTCTTTTTTTCAGAAATATTAGTGTAACGCTATCGTATTTCAATTGTTTTAAAATTTTTCTGCTTAAATTAGATTTAAATAAGAAATTGCCTTTAGTAATGTAAAAGTTATTTGGTAATAAATTATTTATATAAGTACATAGATTATGTATTAAATTAAAATAACATGTCAATTTTTAAGTTAAGTACATGAAATGTTAAATCATAATTTTTATATTGTAACACATACCTTTTTAGGATAAAAAAATTTATAATGTACTATTTATTAGTTTTTAAATGTCTATCCTTTGTACAGTAAGTGACATAAGTTGTAGAGTAAAATCAATTAGCAATTTTTATATCATATGAAAACAATGTGAAGTAACGATATTTTATTAAATTGTCAATCCATTTTTAACGCATTTTACGATAAATTATTCGTAATATTCGTATGTTATTGAAATCAATTTTACTTTTTATCTTGAAATAGATTTATCACGAAAATATGTGTTGTGTGCTGTAAATTACAATTCATTTCGCAATAGTCAGTTTTACAGCAATCTTAACTTTAAAAGATTCAACAAAATTAATAATAATTCTTGCTTTTATTTCCAGTTTACATGAAAGTTAAGAAGCAATATTTCTCTATTTTTTATATGTATACGTTTTTAATATTAATGTCTTAAATATTTCAAAGCAATATGAAGAATGAATTTTCAGTTCAAATTTATTTTATCGCACTTAATAATTTTACGAAAAGGATTAATTTGGAACATTTCTTTACTTAACGAAATCAATTTTCGATTGATAAAGTTGGCAGTACATGTACGAAATTGTAGCGGCAAGTTAAATTCATAGTACTACTCTATTGTATAAAGTAAAGATTAGGATGCAAGTGCAACTGGATCGTATTATAATTTTTAATTTTAAATCGTTTAAAGGGGAAGTAACTGTTGGCCCCATTAAACCATTCACAGCTATTATAGGTCCAAATGGATCAGGTAAGTGTTATCTTTTCGATCTTGATCATTTGACTTATTGTTAGCTTTAATTATCGTTGGATTCAAAAAAAGAATCAGAAAGTACATGTATATGTATGTACACGAATAATTGAACTTAGATACTAGGTTATTAAAAAATTGTACTTTATTTGTTTGCTTTATCACATTTTATTTGTTATAATTTGATTAATTTATTAAATTATAATTGCTTATCAATGTGAAAGTTAAAATTTTTTTTAAATTATATACACCACGCGCGCACGCATACACACACACACACACACACACCAGAATCACAATCTTTTTTACTATAGATCATGAAGTGAATTACACTAAACTAAGATTACAGATTTGTGTTTTAGGAAAATCAAATATTATGGATGCAATTAGTTTTGTTATGGGCGAGAAAGCTAAAAATTTGCGCGTTAAACAACTCAATGAGCTTATCTATGGTACATTTGGAGGAGTACCCATAGGACACAGGTGTTGATATATTTTTTGTTTTAAATTTTATTTTGAATTACTATTAACTTGATGTTATACATATTGCAGTAATTTTCTTAAAGTAAGTTTTATCTACTATAAAATGAATATCATTGATGTTGAACTGAAAAATTTTATTAAAATATCCTTTTTATAGAGAAAACAGACAAAACTACATTATATATATGTAGAACAAATCAATTTTATTTACATATATATATAATTTTGTATGATTGTAAATTTCTCTAAATATTCTTCCTTTTTTCATTTATATTTTGTACATATGTACGTGTACATACGTATATATCATGATATAATTATCTTCGTTTTAGATAATTTGCAATTAATATATTAACATTTATTTGTTTATTGCATAATTTAGTATATGTATTTTATTGACAGTTTTAATACAAGTGACTTATAACACAAGTGATGAAAATTTTCTATTTATTTATTTCATTAAAATTATCTTTTTATATTATTTATGATGCAGAGCATATGTAACAGCTGTATTTGTTTTTGAAGACAGTAGTGTCAAAACTTTTACAAGAACTATATATCATGCTTCTTCTGAATATAAAATTAACGATCAGGTAGGTTTGCTTTTAATTGTAAATTTT